GGCCGCGGTGCTCTTGACGCCGGCGCGGAAGGAGGCCGAGCTGCTGCTGACCCTGCTGGAGATGATGGCTGAGCAGCCGCTGAAGCCCAGGCGCTCCCCGCCGGGGTAGTGGTGCAGCTGGCGGCTCATGGCTGCGTGCGTGGGGCCGAGGACAGGGCTGCTGCGGAGAAGGGAGGCCGGAGAGGGGCGCAGGAGAGAGGGGCGCAGGAGCCGCTGGGCTTGTCCTGCTGGCTCTCCCCTTAAATAGGGAGGTGCGGGGCTGGACCGGCTGGAGTCAGCCTAATTTGTAGGTCTGGAACACCTGACTGGCCACATGGGGCGTCTTGGGTCCCCTGTTTAGGAAATTATCATGCCCTCTCTGAGATTTTGTCTCTGCCACCGGAACTCCCCATGAATTGCCTATAAAATGGCCCGGAACCCTGCATTTGCCGCGCTTACCTCCAGCATTATAATAATCTGGCTGCCTTATCTCTACTCGCTGCCCTCCAATTACTAGGGTTCCCTCTGCCAAGAATCCCAAGGGAAGCTTCCAGTGGGTCTGGCCTCTGGGGTAGAGGGGGGTAGAGAGGGAGCAGATGGCCCCAGCTCTTTTCCTTCCTTACAGTCTACTCCACAAAAACATGAACAAGGTCGGGGATACCCCTGAGAATCACCTGCAGCTCGCCTGCCCCTGCTGTGTCTGGGGGCTTCTGGGTGGAGAGGACTCTGGCCCCAGGACTGGCACGTCTGAGCGTAGAGACTACTGATGCACCTGCGGGGACCCCCCAGGCTCAGGGGGAGGCGGTGACACACAAGGCAGGGAGAGCTCTGGTCACATGTGCTGGGGTCTGGCTCTGGGCCAGAGCTAAAAGGTGTCTCAAAAAAGAAATTTCTAGAATAAGTTAGTGGGAAGAAGGAAAGCCAAGCTGGCACACAGGAGGGTTAGCAAGGTCTTTCAAAGTCTGGGTGGTTGTAAGCAGAAAGGGGTCATGTACCCAAACTGGGGGGCTCTGAGCAGGACTCTTGCTGCTGTGATGTCTCAGATTCTGCATCAGAACAGGAGGGACCCTCAGGAAGGGGTCAAGAAGGGCCACGGAAGACCCAACCGGCTGTTAAAACGAATTCTAGAGCTTCATGCCATACAAATGCAGGCGTCTCCTTCTTCAATCTAAGCCAGTTTTCTTGCTCCCACGTAAGCTGCCTTCGAGTCTGTCCCTCGGTGACAGCGGCCCCTCCCGGGGTGCTCCCGGGGTGCTCCGCTGGCCCCCAGCTGGGGCTGGGGCTCAGCATACTTATTCCTAGCCCTGAGTGAGTCCTGGGAATGGGCCCCTTTCGCCATCAGCTCGCAGGCCCCTGGGTTAACGCGCCCTTCCCCGCTCACCGGGAGCCCGCCGGCCTTACCGCCAGGATCTGGGAGCTGAATGTGAGTCACCTTGGGCTCAGGACGGGACTCGCCCCCGCGGCTTCAGTACACCCTGGACACTGGCCTCCCCTCGGGGCCTCCGGGACTCTGGCCAGACGGCACCCGGGGGTGGGTGACTGACACGGCCCCCACGGAATCAGTCTCAGAGCATAATGACAGCCAGGTTGTTTACCCCATGGGGAACGGGCCGCGGGGACCCTGGTGAGTAAGAGAGATGGCGCCGGCCGCAGATGGACAGATAGAGAGTCTGGGGTGAGCAGGGAGGGGAAGAGGGTGGGCTTTTTGTGCTGCTTAAGAGGAGAGTTTATTGTCCTTTCTCTGTGGAGAGGGCTGGACAATGTAATGTGTGTGATATGTAATGTGTAATGTGTGATATGTGATGTGTAATGTGTAATGTGTAATGTGTGATATGTGATGTGAAGAATCTCCTATACGTCCCATCATTTCGTGGAATTTCTTCCCCTGCCCCACAGTTTTACCCAGTTGCCTTCCCCACTGGCGCAAGGAAGAGTCTATTAATTTTGGCCATTGAGAATCAAAAGGAAAGAGAACTATTTAAGCTGATGTAGGAGAAACATGGGATTGGCTTTCAAAGAGAGTCTGAATTCTCCTTTTTTCTGGAAACTTTCTAGGAAGCTGAGACACCTGTGCTGGCCCAAGCCACATCCACCCAGGTCTAGGGAAGAGGTCAGATGACCTTTCCTCACCTTCCCACAGGGCTGGCTGGCTGGCTGAATCAGGAATTGCTCACCACTCCCACCCCGCACCCCCACCCCAGGTCACGAAGAGACGCAGTGACACAGCCGCTTCCAGAGACATCAGATGCGCCGGCCTGTGGGCAGATCAAAGTGGCCTGAGACCTGGAGGGTGTTTCTCACTGTCCTGCCTTCTGGTGGCGGGCCCTGGGGTCCCCAGCCTCTTGGGGAGGGCAGGGGCGGGGAGCACCCCAGTGGCACAGCAAAGCAGAGGGGACTCTAGCCTGGGCCGTCTATCACCCACAGGGTCAGCCCCCACCCGGGAACTACAGCATCAAGCCCCAGCTCCCTGGCAGGCTTGAAAGTGCCTCTCTGGTGTGGCCACCGCCTGCCTCCTCAGCTGGCCGCTACACCCCCTGACCCCCGAGGTTCCCCAGCCTTGGAACCCACACCAGCAACCCCACTCCACTTCCACCTGCTCGTGCCTCTGGTGGCCACAGGCTGCCCCTCCTGTCTACCCGGGAACACCGTCCCCTGCAAACTGCCCACACTGCCCTCTGTCTTCTTTGTCGCCACCACTTCAGATTTGAAGTTACACGTTTCTTTTTAAAGATGTGTTTATTTGTGCATACAGAACTGGGGTGCAGGTGCAGTGAGAGGAGTCACCAGAGACAGAGTGGGGAGCAGAACAGCAGATCGACCGCAGATTGACACTGCTGAGGGGAGCAGCAGGCAGGCCAGGAGAGGTCTGCTGCCATGCAGGTCAGCTCCGGGGCGGGGATCGAACTCGCCCTGCAAAGGCTGCGGCCAGCTTGCAGTGCTGCGTCCTAACCTGCTGTGCCACCAGGAGGGGCCTGCAATTGTTATGTCCTTAACAGCTGGTCTCCGGAAAGGATGGGCCGGGTTCCGACCCCACGCGTCCCCAGCACACACAGGCCATCCGGGGGGAAACTGACCAGCCTCTTCACTGACCCCAGTAGTGTACCCTGGAGACTAGCTACTCTGTCAACCCATTCTCTTTTGGGCCATAATAAACTGGCATCCGATTTGTGTGTCCTGAATGTTTGAACTTCACAGATTGCTGCATCTGCAGCTAATCCTCTCGGTGAGCCCGTGAAGTTAATTTTGGAACCAAAGAGACTGGACAAGACTGTTTCTACTGATGTCTACTAAGGAGGGACTAGGCAGGAATTAGACCAGTCAGCCTCAGGCTGTCCACCTTCGGGGCAGTAACAATCTGAGGGTATATTCTGCCCGTTTTGCAGCTAAAGAAGTGAGGGTGAGAGGGGTTGAGAGCTTGGCTCATAATCTCGTTAGCAGCAGGTCTGGTTGTAGCTCAAGGCTATGGACTGTGGGGCCCTCCCATGGCCCCTGTTCAGCGGCACGGCCTGGGCTGCACGTGTGCAGGCCACCCAGCGCCCTGTCCTGCTGCAGCTGGACAGGCCAGAGCCGGGAGAAACCTACGTGCTGCAGGGGGTTTAGGAAACATCCAGTGTGCGTGTGCGTGCGTGTGTGTGTGTGCGCGTGTGTGTGCGTGTGTGACGGCGACCCTTTCCAGCCAACCAGAGCTCACACCTGTGTCAGCCACACTCAACCAGTGAAACTGCTCCGAGGGCCTCAAGAGAGTGTGGGTCACTCGTTGCTCTACTGACTCTCGCGCTGGCCTTTCCCCAGGGGACCCGGGGCAGCCGTAGCTCTAGCCTTGAGCTTTCCAGATTGGCCTTCTGCTGCCTCTGGATGAGTTTTAAATCTTTCCAGGCAAGTGCTGGCCCCTCTCCCTGCCTGCTGATAACCGGGAGGGTCTGAAGGCCGCCCACTCGCAGGGGCCCAAGACAAGCACAGTATAGAGGTTGTGTCTGTGCGAACGGGGTGAATCCTGAGTGGCCCAAACCCCAGCTCAGGTACAGAGTCCTGCAGCCAATGCCAGGGCCTTTTTCTTTCAGGTCAAAAGATATCTGAGGCTCTCTGAGCAAGCTGGACCTCGGATGCCCCGCAGTCCGGGTGCTTGGTGGCCACACACAGAGGGACACGCCTGAGGTCCGGTTCACTTACGAGAGAGAAGCAGCCTGGTCCTGCTAGCGTTTCACAAGTTTATTGGTGAGATGCAGAAAACGGGAAGGTGAAGCCTAAGGAGGGGAAGGGCCCAGGGCCGAGGGCCCACACCCCTTTGCTCACAGCACCAGCATGCGGAGACTTCCCACATATGGTCTGGGGGGCCGCTCGCAGGAGCCCCCCAGTGTTGCTCTGGCAGGAGATGGTTCCCACCGGCCACACACGGCCAACCTGATGTCTCGTGTGCCTGGGGCCGCGTCACCGCCCACCCGGGCCTGGCAGGGAGCGGGAAGATGGACTAAACCCGCGAGAAGCCCTTCCTCCCAGGAGCCATCAGGCCAGAGGAAGGGTCGACACTTCGGGGGGGGGCGAGTTGGGGGGTCTCGGCGTGGGGGCAGAAGGATAGCAGGCTTCTGGTTCTGGATGGAGACCACTAAGGCAGAGAGGTGGAAAGCAGAGGACAGGTCGGGGCGAAGAAAGGCAAAGAGGAGACAGTGACCAGTGTGCAGGGACTCCGGGGAGGCCGGCCAGGAGGCCCGGCGAGGCTGCGGCCGGGAAAGCGGGGCCTTCCGCTTTATCTTGTGGTTTTCTTGGTGGGTGAACTCAGAGCTGAGGTCTTCCCTGCAGGATCCTTGAATTCACTCGCGCTTCCCAGCCTGGTTTTGGCCTCCCCTCGGGGGCTGCAGCTCCCGCTGCCAGTGACACAGCCCCCCGAGAGCATGCCGTAGCCCCCCCCAACAGAGCTGGGCCGGTAGCCATAGGTGCTGGCACCGCTGAACCCGAAGCCGGCTCCTGCACCCGAGGTTCCGGCCGCCGAGCTGCTGATGACCGCTGCGGGGGGTGGAGGGAGCAACGTCACGCTGTGTTCGGGGCCCTAACACCCCTGGAACCTCCCAGCCCCGCTAGCCTCAGTGGCTCCCGCTTAAGCACGTCACATCATTACGCATGTCCACATCATCACATGTGCATGTGACGAGCAT